ATTAAAAATGGTGAAGATATAAAGATCAGTACTTCCATACGCCTTACACTATTTCGAAACGTGATGTTTTAGGGCAATGACCGCAAGAATATCATGTGTTGCCTACCGCTACAAAAAATCATCCCCACAAAACAAACAGGACCGGTGTTTGTCATGAACATCCGCACTTACATAACGGATGCTTCGTTCCGTTGGATATATGTAAAAACATTCCTCATTTCATATAAATTATACAATGCCTGTCCGTCCTTCCCTTTAAGGAGAGACAGCCACCGTGGTGTAGTGGTTAGAGCGTCCGCCCGGAGTGGAAGGTCGCGGGATCGATCCCCGACCGCGTCATACCAAAAGACGTTAAAATATGGTACTTGTTGGTCCCTGCCTGGCGCTCGGCATTAATGGGGACAACAAGGACTGGTCGGCTCAGATTCAGTATAATGTGTCTGAGTGGGGTATTCATGCTTCACTGCGGCATGGTATCTCAGTGGGCTAGCACTATAAAACCAGCTTAAGTCTGGGCTAGTACAAGCAGCTGCATATACACACACGCGCGCATGCACGTCGTCATATGAGCGAAATATTCTCAAGCACGACGTTAAACCCAATTTTACCTCACCTCACCTTTAAGGAGAGACACAAATAGGGTACTTGTAGGTCAGATGCACCTGAAATAACTACATTGTATAACATACAGATTGGCAAGATATCATCTTCTGGTGCTATACAGCCTATCATACAAATAGACTCGCCAGGCACGTCAGTAACAGTAGTGGACTCAAGTCTACAACAGCGGATGACAGCCTCGGGTTCTATCAGTGGAGCAACAGGCAGAATACAGTTCATCCTGACAGATCTGAGAAGTAATCTGGGAAAACTATATGTCAGCCTGGTACACAATTCATGTTAGCAGGAAAAAGGCAAAAACAAGGGATCAGAACTCCTAACTGCTTTACATCTTTTGTCAGGTGGTGCAGGACCAGAACTACCATCTCATCCCGAACCACTTATAAGTGGTGAGCTTTGTATATTTGAAAGAAGGCAAGAGCGGGTTATATATGATTACATTGACGATCACGCTAAGCTGTCACCCTGGCACATATTTCAGACAGTGGTGGCCATACCGTATTATTGACATTTTGGTGTCAAAGTGTCATCGTCAGACTAAAAACGACATTGTCCTTCTTTAACGGCATTAGTGTATTTGTTATTGGACCCAAAAGCTTGTGTTTGTTGTTCCTGGTCGAATACAGTTCCTGTTGTATCTTCTATATGTACAATCAGCTTGCTGTTCTACTCAAATACATTTAACACATAATACCAGGACGACAAACACTCATGCAGGAATGCTGTAATTACAATGGGAAGAAATCGTTTGTGACCTTATCTAAATCTGGCCTTTATTGTAAATGTGTTATACATATGAACCATTATGTTAGCAGCGTATCTCATGCATGTCAGCAGGAAAGCAACAGAATGAAAGGATCAGGACTACCTCCTAACTGTTATACAGTCAAATCCCGATGAGTCGAATGCCGGTGTCTCGAATATTGTGCATAACTCGAAGTACCTGTCGGTCCCGACCATTCCCTGTTATAGTTGTCATCATTTGAATACCGGTTACACGAATTCGTCTCATTAATACACACGATGACATACCTATGTCTCGAATACATCGATAAGTCGAATTTATTACTTGGTCCCCAGCGATTCGACTCATCGGGATTTGACTGTATTTTGTTTCAGGCCAACAACCACCAGGGGAAACATCTACTTCCGAAAAGCCTGCAAGTGGTGAGTTTTGTACAACTGGTTAATTTACATATTTATCAAGAGTGTAAATTTCAGAAATGTCTTGCCTATTAATGATATACCACAGTACCATATATAATTATGGCATAGTTGTCTGGACATTCAATCACATCGACAATCCGTGGCACATATTTCCGCCAACGGTAGCTATACACATTACTGACATTCTGAAAGCATACCCTTATCCGGTATCTCGTTTTGGACCATCAATCTGCACCATTGTTGCACCTCCAACCATTGCTGCCCCAATAGTCTGATTACAATCCCACATCCACTTTTATGTTTCGTTTGCTTTAGTTGTCATTCGGATAGCACACCTGTATTTGAGCTTAACGTGTTGTATTGTTAATGTTAGCATTCGGTATGGATATATTCATCGTATGGCATACTGAGTGTACTTAAGCTTCTTTGGTTAACGTACTATCATATGTTCTGTCCATCATACAGATCGATGTTAAGGAAGGACACTTTGGACATGAATTTGGCTTGTATGTAACTGAGTCAGGGCCTGGAGATTCAGTGACTCAAGCACTGAGAAAGATCAGTGTAAGGCAGTCTCGTGGAAGAATGATAAAAATAGGATATAGGGACTGATTACTCATTCCAGGACCTCATAATAGGCATGTTAAGGGGTTGAGTTATATGCTACAAGAACATTTCCAAATATCTTTTAAAAAAGGAGGGTATGGCCCGGGTGAAATATAGTTAGTCTGAATGAACACAAGCGAAGGCCTTCACGTACCTGCACTTGGTCTAAATACCTTCTTTCAGAAGCTTCTGTAAAATGCTCGATCAGTCGGTGCAAACATGAGACAGTAACACATTCCTGACATTATAGGTATTACCAAAACACAATGATTAGATCTTCTATTGAAACTTAATAAAACTATGCATTATAGCCACAACATTTGGTTAGAATGAATTAAACTGTCATGTAGCAATAGAAATACATTTGGCCTGTAAGTAACTGCGTGAGTCAGGGCCTGGAGATTCATTGACTGAGAACAAGGGAGGGCAGTGTGCTCAGCTCACAGTTCTCACAAGAGATTTGATATGGCCCGGATGAAATATGTTGACGTCTGGTCGTTAGGTAATCACACTTGGTCTAAATAAATCCTTACAGAAGCTTCAATAAAATGCTGGATGAGTCGGTGCTGATGTAGAAGAAGAGAATTGTTTTCCATTGTGATTATATTCACTTGTGTACACCCTCAAAGAAAATTGAATCTGCTTCACAAATGTCAGATTTCACATGTGTGCTTTAAACTGAAACACGTTACTTAAAAGTTATATATTAGGAATCAGTCATCATCACCGCAGTCCTTCACTGCTCCGAGTACCAATTTTAGTGCAGTGCTATGCTACTATGCTATATAGCATATATTCTCATGGCATATATTTATATGACTCAATCAATCGTCTTTGTTATTGAATTGATCTAAATTCAAGTACTTGGGGTTTTTTCAGCCACTGGGCCAACCCTGACAGCATCACCAAGCACAATAGCAATCGGGAACAGAAACCCAGCATCTCAGTTGACTGTAAGTTGCAGGACAAATGCCCCTGGGATAACACAGGTGTTTACCATTTCGATTGGCGAGAAGTCTTCTACTGGCTCTGATCAGCCTATAATACGAATGACCAACACAGATACGTCAGTACAAGTAGTGGACACACGTCTACAACACCGGATGGCAGCCTCAGGTTCTATTAGTGGAGCAACAGGCAATATTCAGTTCATCCTAGCAGATCTGAGATGTGCTGATGCTGCTTCTACATACTACTGCAAAACTTCATACTTGGTTGGTGCAGATGGAAAGGATGAGGCAACGACCAACATCACAGCTAGAAGTGTGTAATGCTAATATTTACTAAATCTGAATCTGAAACGTCTCTGTCCTTGAGACACACACATGTACAGATGCATATTTGACATTAAAACCTGTTACATTCTCTCCTATGAACAGCTTTATGTTCTACTCAAATGCATTTAAGCTTTTAATACCAGGACGACAAGAATTCAAAAAGGAATACTATAATTACCATGGGAAGAGATCGGTTGTTGGTCGTATCTAAATCAGGCCTTAGAGTGTTATGCAGATGAAGTTGTATGCCAGCCGCGTACACCATATATGTTAGCAGGTCAACGACCTAAACAAATGATCAAGCCTAGTTCCTAACTGCTATATTTTTTCAGGCCAAGAACCACCAGGTCAGACATTTACTTCCGAAACGATTACAAGTGGTGAGTTTTGTATAACAGAAAGAAAGCAACAGAAGGTTTACATCGACGAACACCCTGCCACATATTTAAGAAAATGGTGGCCATACCACATTACTCAGATTTTGGTGTCAAAGTGTCATCTCAAGACTAAAAATCATACAGATACTTAGCAAGGATAAACTAAAGATGGTAAATAAGGATAAATTGCACATAAATTTAGGCTAACAGTAGCTGAGCCAGTGCCTGGCGATTCAATGGCCGAACGCACTGAGAAAGATCAGTGTAAACAGGGCAACGTGTCATGCAAACGGCAATGATCATCGATTGATCCGTGTTAGTTGGGAATGATGACCAAAAATGGGATTTAGGGGATTAAATACTTTTTCGAGGACCCAAGAAGGGATATGTTAAGGAGTCGTTATATGCTACCAGAACATTCCCAAATATCTTCAAATATATGGTAGGGTGCACTGCGTATAGTTCTCAAAAGAGATTTGGTAGAGCCCAGATGAAATATATTGACGTCTGGTCAAGGCTGGATACTTGGATTGAAAGTAATGAACACAAGCGGAGACCTTTGTGTAAATACACTCGTCACAAATATTGGGTCTAAATACCTGCTTTCAGAAACTTGCGCAACATGCTGGATCGATTCAACTAAAAAGTATCAAAGTGTAGAGTGAGTGAGTGAGTTTAGTTTAACGCCGCACTCAGCAATATTCCAGCTATATGGCAGCAGTCTGTAAATAATCGAGTCTGGACCAGACAATCCAGTGATCAACAGCATGAGCATCGATCTGTGCAATTGGAAACCGATGACATGTGTCAACCAAGTCAGCGAGCCTGACCACCCGATCCCGTTAGTCGCCTCTTACGACAAGCATAGTCACCTTTTATGGCAAGCACATGGGTTGCTGAAGACCTATTCTACCCCGGCATCTTCACGGGACATCAAAGTATAGACGGTTTCTGGCGTGAGACAGTAACACATATCTGGCAACTAGGTATTGTCAAAACACAATGATTTTATCTTCTACTGATCCTTAACAAAACAATGGATTACAGTCACAACATTTGGTTACAATAAATTAAACTGCCATGTAGCCATAGAAATACATTTGATGTTTCAAATGACAGCAACGTGTGTCTAAGAGAACCAGGAATCCTCTCTTGGTGTTGGAGTGGCTATAGGTGTGTGTGTGATGCTGGCTGTTGGTGCCATCTGTCGTGGTTTGGCGTTCGTCTTCAGGGACAAACTAGCAGACTGCATATCAGGTAGGTACTTTACGTGATAATGTTTTGGGAATATTTAATTGTGTCAAGACAGAAGAAGGTGTATACAGTTGTAACATTTCTTAATCTCTCTGTCAACGTCATACATTTGACATGTATATCCTATGGAGCTAACCGTTATGCTGTTAAAACTATGAATTCTGGTTCTGGATGAGAATGGTAATGTTTCTAAGGAACGCTGCATTAAAACAGCAAAGAAGAATAATGTCATCCATGCGATGAGAGTTTGAATGTTGGCAATGACCACCAAGGGTCATAAGGCAAAGTCGCAAATGGTCGGATGGCATAAACAATGTGTGACCACATTTATTGGCACTTCCCGAAGAGACAGTTGGGAATAGCTAGCCACTGGAGGAGTAGGACTGTTGACCTGTTGCAGGTTTGCTGACCGAAGTGGTCACCCCAATGTTCGACTGATTCACGATCGGGAAAAATAAGAAGACAATGCATGCGCGAGACCACATTTTATTGCTGGAAGGTGACCACTCAAGCTCGCGGGAGTCTTGCATTGACTCCTCCTCCAATTATTTTCAGTGTTGGTAATACGCCAAGGATGAGGAGTTTGGATGGAGGTACTACTTGTTCATTAATCTGATATTTGGTTGTTTCAGGAGAAAAGAACACCGGTAGCCCAGAGATGTCAGTCTTGTCAACGTAGGTTAATCTGTTCCAGAATTAATTATTTGAAACATTCATCACAATGTAACAAACACCCTAACTGTTAATTGAAAATATGTTTCTAGTGAAAGAGTGCTTTAAGTGTATAGGCTTGTATTACGGTTTAGAAATTACCGAGATAAAAGGCTTGTGGGTCCCTTTAAACCAGAAAATATAATAAACCAGACAAGTTTCTGATATTCAATAATATATTGAATAAGGTTAAAATGAATGACAGTTCAGATTTCCAATACAATACAATTGAGTTACAAATCTAAAATATTGGGTCACAAATCTAAAATAGTAACTCACCAAAGTTTTGATATTCCCAGTAAAAACAGATGAAAATTGATTGAAAAATTGCTGACAGCTGTGAAAGTTCAGTGTGGACGATGTTGATGTTGGCAGACAGATGAGCGCAAAGTAGTAGTAGTCAGCAACCATCCATTATATACATATCATAAAGATCTGGAGAATTCTAGCAAAAACCACTCCACAACACAATCATTTAGAGATTTCTAACAGCTTCCGCAGCATCCGCCGGAAGTAAATCAACAACAACGAGGAGGTAACTCCCGAACCCACTCATAACAGGTGAAATACAAAGTCTACATGTTCAAGGTGTGAGTTCAAATCCACACTCAGCGCTTTACATTTTAGGGACCAATAATGACTAAAAATTATTTAATGTGACATACTTAACAAAAGCACATCCTCAAAACACTTGTAGGTTTCTTAATTTTGTAACCAAAATGTTCTGCAGCATAATAATCATTGCCATACAATTTATCCTTTTCTCAACCACTGCAGCATACAGGCTCCTGCCACAGTGGTCGCACCTGTTGGAATCCAAACACCAGGTCAGATTTTGTCAATGTACATTATCACTGTGCAAGTGTCTAACAGAGCATAACCAAAATAGTGACTAATTAGATGCTTGGTTGGCATTTTAGAAGATGCTATCTGATGAACATAAAGACTTTTCTGTATTTCATCTTCTTTTATTCTTTGATACAACGTTTCAGGGCCTTACCGGTCGCATCATCAGGTAAAACTAATAAACAGTTAACTGTTCCCATAATGTCAGACCGCCACCGTGGTGTAGTGGTTAGAGCGTCCGCCCGGAGAGCGGAAGATCGCAGGTTCGATCCCCGACCGCGTCATACCAAAAGACGTTAAAATATGGTACTTGCCTGGCGCTCGGCATTAATGGGTACAACAAGGACTGGTCGGCTCGGAGTCAGTATAATGTGTCTGAGTGGGGTATTCATGCTTCACTGCGGCATGGTATCTCAGTGGGCTAGCACTATAAAACCAGCTTAAGTCTGGGCTAGCACAAGCAGCCGCACACACACACAAACATATGCATGCACGTCGTCACATGAGCGAAATATTCTCAAGCACGACGTTAAACCCAATTTCACCTCACCTCACCTCACCCATAACGTCACAATGCTATGACGACGTCATACATGACGACGCAATACATCTGGACGTCATAATGGATACAGCTCACACGGTTAACAGGAATACATGTTATTATGAATATAGAATATATTGTTTACTACAAAATTATTGGATTAATTTAGAAATGTACAGTGAGTGCTTTCCGCCATATTGGATAGTGTTTACAAAGTCACGTTTCGCGAAGGCCGGTATTGAGACGCCTATTTCATCACGTATATTTCATATTCAGCTTCGAAAAATGCATCACTGAATCCCCATTCATTTTACAATCAAATTAAAAATGGTCTTTGTCACCAATACTAACTGTCTAGATAAAATGAGACGAAACATAATGGGTGTGAAAACGAACGCTGTGCTCGATTTTACACTGCGTAGCATTTTCTGAAATTTTCCAACATTCATCCGTCTATTCGTTGCTTGCAATGGCTCAATACCTTTGGAATATGCATGGAAAGAGTATCGTAGCCAGAAATAGGAAATTATCAATAGATACAATGCAATGATTATATAATTCATAAGAAATTGTCAAAGTTTCCGTGTAGCGTGACGCCATGACTGACGCAAAATCACGAAGACCGACAACGGTAGTTATCTGCATTTCTGGCTTCTTCTCTTACTTATAATGAAAACGATAAAACATATAACAATGCACAGATAGTCAGAATCATTCTGATTACTTACATCTGCTTTTTTATGTACAAACGATCCCTGAATCAATGGAAGGGTTCTGGCAAAATCCTGTGTACCCATGTCAGCCAAGCCGCCATTTCGTAAGAAATCGGTCAACGGTAGTGAAGTCATACGTCAACATTGTTGTACATATTAGGCAATTTCTTTGAGGTGAAGGTCGGTTGAACAAGAGTAAACACAATCGCCCAATTCCCTCCCATTACACTGTCAGTATTATGGTGTATATTTTGCGTGTAGTTCTGATATTTGTTCATGAAACTGACCTCAGTATCTACATTTAGCCTTGTTCAATATCATATCATACGTGCATCTAGGGTTTACTGTGTTTTATTCTTGGAAAGTTTTGATTGTTTGAATAATATTTACATAAGAAATTGACACATTTAGTGTAGTACACCATATTCTAAACCTTTACACAAGTGTTAGAAGATCAAACGTAGCCATAACTGCAACTACTTTAGTTCCTATTATGTACAATATTCAATGCATTTGAACTAATATTGCAGTTTCACATGAACAGGTTAATGAACGGCGATTTAATTCAACCTTATAAGTAAAACTGATAATATTAATGGAAACGATTGATATATGTTATGAAATACATATGCACACATATTTAAAGGAATTGTCTTGTTCATTGCATATTTTTGTGTCGTTTTATAGACAAAACAATGATGTCTATTGATTGGCCTGGTGCGAGTTTGTCGAAACGTTTTATGATTCACTATCATTGTTTTCGATAATATAATCAATTCATCTTCAGTCAAAAAATATTGTGATGACAGGATATCAAACTCTCTATATTTATACGAAAATTGTTTAAAAAAATACAAACCATGTCATGTCTTAATTTGGACAAATCATAAATCCATATTCTAATATACTGAACAGCAAAAGAAATGCAAGTTTCGAAAGACTGAAATCTCATGAAGGTAAGCGTTCATGTTTATGGAACGTTCATGGTAAAGTGACGTAATGATCCCAGATGAGATAATGTCATGCAATTTGACGTCGATACGAACCATTCACACAAACACACCAACAGTGCAGCCAAACCATAATTTTAGTACGTGCATCGACGGTTATGGATGAAAAGCATGCATTTTACTCTGAGGTATCCTTTATAAAGGTTTGTGTACAAAAACAGTTCAGTATTGACGCTAGGAGGTGTACACGCCACACAAACGATGCCTTGACTAACGACTGAGCAGAGGGGAATGGCCATTGGAAAGTTTCACGAGGTAGCTCTGCAACCGCTGTAGCTACACAATTGGGTTGTCATCTTACCACCATTACACGACTTGCTCAACGTCATCAGCAAAGCGGGTTGCTGCTGATCGTCGCCGTACCGGACGGCAACGCGTGACAACTCATGCGCAAGATCGGTTCATCCGGGTCACTCATCTAAGGAACCGAACTCAAGCAGCAACAGTAACAACAGCCTTAGTTCTTGGGTCAAGGGGAGCAGTGCCAAGCGATACGATTAGGCGTCGTCTTTGGAATCCACTGCCGAAGGCCATATGTGGCACGTCAACAACGCCAGCGACATTTGCAGCCCTCACACAGGGGTGGATTATCTGGCTCAGAATAACATTAACGTCTCTTTCCCCGGATATGGCTCCCATTGAACATTGTGGGACGAAATTGGACGGAGGATAGCTGCAGGTAGACGAACACTCGCACTGGCACAAATGGAATAGAGATTGGTGTTTGAGCGGAACCAGTTGCCTAAGGCATTCTTTCAGACTCTAGTGAACTCAATGAGGCCACGTTGCACGGCCTGTGAGCAAGCTCAAGGTGTCTATACGCGCTACTACACATACTGTCACTTTTCGCGTTCAGGGGTATCTCCATTTGACGGACTGTGATCAATTTGAACTTATTGCAATTCAATGTCAACAGCAACTTTTAGCTGTTAAGTTGTGAAACATATTATTATTAAAAATTTAATATTGACCCTAAAATCCTCCATCGCTCCTTTGAAAGATATGTTGCCAGAATGAAAAACCAGCCAGACGAATGTGGAGTAAACGGGCTCCCATTACACAACATGGTCTGATGTGTTATGACTCTTCAATGTATACAATCTATGATCTTTGTGCAGTAATACTTGAATGTATCTACTCATGTTTGAAGACTGATGTGTTGTGAACTGTCAACATGTATAAGCTTGTATTAGGCATGACATCTGTATAATAATGTATGAATGTTTCTACCTCTTGGTTACCAAGAAGGAACCAAATGGACCCAGGAGCAAACAAGCAATATTACTCATAGCACCGACTTACCTAATTGCTCAAGCTTAGACGATCCTCAATTATACAACATTGTTTGGATGATATTCGTATAAAACGATTGTAACAAGATATGTCACCTGTCAACGTGTATGACTTTTGTATAGAGTGAATGTACCTACTGATGTGAATAAAAATGTGGAAAAAAACAACAAAAACTTTTAGCTGTTAAATTGACAGAGAGAATAAATGATTAGACACAATTTTGGTTGTCTTCTATTCAAAAACGTGACAAAAAGCCAGACTTGCGTTTCTTTTGCTGTTCAGTATATATAGTTATATATATAAAAGCTATCCGTTTGCATCTTTCATTGCATATTTATGAAGAGAAACATACCTACATAATCATAAACAAAGAAAATTCTTATCCTAAACAAAATATTCGGGTGTTTACGTTAAATTGATGCCAAACAGGTGAGCGTGTTGCTCACAATAAGATACACAGTGAAACCGTCTAATTGTTGATATATTCAGGACACTATTTAAATGGAAAAATCAGTCATTTTATGTTTTGTCTAAAGAGTGTTAAATTCTGAAATAGAAGCCGAGACCTTTTATACAATTAATGGAAATTAGGTGAGATATATACTAATCAGCATACCAATGTCGTCTTTTTCCGACGTCGCAAAATGCATAAACAATGACGTCAACTAAAATGTTGTATTATTTTCAGCAATTTCATTAAATTTGAAGATATGGCTAGTACTCTGGTAATAACAATACAAAAGTAGTCAAAATACATCTACACAAACAGGAGAATATGTTGAATCTAAGAACTAACTTATATATCTGATAGGGCCATCCAAATCGCTATTACGTGATTTCACATGTAGTACGTTGTCATCTTTTCTTATAAATTGTGAAACTACCCAAGCGTATCCGCTCACATTGGGGAACTTTGAATTGGAATAGTTTGGTTCACCGTGAACAAAAAATACCCCCTTATCATTATACGTGTATGACCTCTCTGTCGTCGCTTGACGTCATGGAAGAAAATCCATTTTTGACATATATTGCGAGTCTTTTTTAATGTTGAGCATATAACGTTATGCATAAGCACATAAACCCAATTCATATACACTTATGTCGTTCAGATATCAGGCTGTATTTTCTTCGGTCACACTTTCTGTAAAGATGCCAAATTAAAAAAATCGCAGCACAGTGCTTTTATCGGTGCGCGATAAAAAGCGGAGAAATTTACTGTTTTTTAACGCATAACAAAAATTTGGCCAACATTCAGCAAGGTCTGTTTCTCAAACTGCCGAGGTAGTTGCACTTATATTTATACCAACGGATTGGAAACTTAATATTCTACATTTCTGTGTGATTTTATAGCCGTACGTAGATACAGGACCACGCGAGCGCAATTCTCGCACAACGCTCACTTTTCAAACTTTATGAAAATGTGCGCCTGAAAAAAACCTCGGCATCCAGGGGGTTAAAATTGCTCTTGAGTAACCCATGTTTGTCGGAAGCGATTTACGGGATCGGGTTGTCATGTTCGCTGACTTGGTTGACACATGTCATCGTATCCGATTTACTAAGAATTCCTGCAGGTTTTATGGAGTTCTACATCTGATAGTATATTGTTTCACAAGCCATTATTGAGAATTTTTCTTACCATTTTTGTCTTCAATGTTTACCGTATCAAAGTGTAAGTATGTACGGGAGACAACCCCACATGTCCTATTTGCAAAGTATGGTCAGAGTTGTCTCCCTTGGTAAACAGGTTAGCTTGGGGCAATCAAGACCACTATATGCCAGCTATTAGCGTCTGAAAACATTAGGTATTAACTAATTTAAAGCGAAACAGTTTTGGTTTCTAAAGAGACAATATGAATGCCTTCATGCAGTGTATTGGAAAACACCACGAGGGGTTCCTTCACCGCTGCCGAGTGATTTTAGTTTTACGCCCAATAAGGCGATATTCCAGCAATATCACGGCAGGGGACATCAGAAATTGGCATAACACATTGTACCGGGACTCGACGCCGGATCTTCGGCGTGACGAGCGAACGCTTTATCCACTAGGCAACCCAAACCGCCCCCAATGCTCCAACACTTACGCTGAAGGGTTCGTGAAAAGTTACACCAATGTAACAACGTCCACGATAAAGTGTCCATTCAAATATACTATTTGGTGTAATGACGTTCTAAAACACAGACTGTACTTAATTGTAATTAATTACCGCCATCCTTAATTGAAATTCAAACAGACTTAAAAAAGAAATAGGGTATTATTTTATTAACGAATAATGCACATTGTCGGCAAAACAGTAACAAAGAAATCCATTTTTGTATAATGAGAGTTGTGTTCCTTCTGAGCTAGGCATTCGGTTTGTATAATATATATAATGACAGCAAATTGTAGTTATTAATGAACATGAGCACCGGCGATGCGTGTTTTGTATAAGATGCTGGGTCACCGTTTAGGGATAAATAGTCAGAAAGGAAGTCTTGAAAGGTCTTGAAGCGCCTGTGTAATCCACATCCCCATTTAACTATTCTCTGCAATGGTCTGAAAATATATTTTTTATTATTATCATTAATGTAACTAATACTACTGTTTCCTCTTCTTCTACTACTACTACTACTACTACTACTACTACTACTACTACTACTACTACTACTACTATATACTACTACTACTACTACTACTACTACTACTACTACTACTATATACTACTACTACTACTATATACTACTACTACTACTACTACTACTGCTGCTGATACTACTAATACTACACAGAAGATTGTACTACTACTACTACTACTTCTACTACAACTACTGCTACTGCTGCTGCTACTACCACAACTAAGCAGAAGATTATACTACAACTACCACTTCTACTACTACTACTACTACTACTACTACTACTACTGCTACTACTACTGCTACTATTGCTACAACTACTACTAGTACTACTACTACTGCTGCTGCTACTTGCTACTTACTACTACTACTACTATTACTACTACTACTACTACTACTACTACTTACTACTACTACTACTACTGCTACTACTACTACTACTACTACTACTACTACTACTACTACTACTACTACTACTACCACTACTACTACTACTACTACTACTATTACTACTACTACTACTACTACTACTACTACCACTACTACTGCTACCACTACTACTACCACTACTACTGCTACCACTAATACTACTACTACTACTGCTACCACTAATACTACTACCACTACTACTACTACTACTATTACTACTACTACTACTGCTACCACTAATACTACTACCACTACTACTACCACTACTACTACTGCTACTACTACTACTAAGAAGAGGAACATTTTACTACTGCTACTACTACTACTACTACTACAGCTGCTAGTACTACCACTACTACTACTAACACTGCTACCACTACTACTACTACCACTACTACTACTTCTGCTACCACTACTACTACAGCTACTACTACTACTGCTACCACTACTACTACTACTGCTACTACCACTACTACTACAGCTACTACTACCACTACAGCTGCTACTACTACTACTACTACTGCTACCACTACTACTACTACTGCTACTACCACTACTACTACAGCTACTACTACTACTACTACCACTACTTACTCTGCTACCACTACTACTACAGCTACTACTACTACTACTACTACCACTACTACTACTGCTACTGCCACTACTACTACAGCTGCTACTACTACTACTGCTACCACTACTACATAGAAGAAGAGGAACAGTATACTGACAACACTAAGAATGATACCGCTGATATCATGTTCACATCATCACTTGTACATGAATTTCATTTAATATGTAAATGTAGAAGTAGGCTAAAAAACTTTAAATAGGTATGTTTCAGTTTTGCTTGTGATGGGTGACTTCAGTGATGTCATAACTCAACACAAATATCTGAAACCTGAACAATACACAAGGCCTACAACCTGCACTTGCTTACTGCTTACCAGGATAATCCACACAATGATCCAGGGAGGAAAGAAACACGTGATGATCAAATGCAGGATATGATTCACATGGGACCTGAAAAGTCATCATCATCATCATCATCATCATAATCATCATCATCATCTGAGTTATTCCATAATCATTATCATCATCATCATCAACAACATCAGCATCATCTGAGTTATTCCATCATCATCATCAATCAGATGGTGTTGGTGATATTGAGAATATCGAGTTATTCCATAATCATTATCATCATCATCATCAACAACATCAGCATCATCTGAGTTATTCATCATCATCATCATCCTCTGAGTTATTCCATTATCACCATCATCATCATCATCAACAACATCAGCATCATCTGAGTTACTCCATAATCATCATCATCAATTAGATGTTGTTGGTTATATTGAGCATATGGAGTTATTCCGTAATCATCTTCATCATCATCATCATCATCAGATACGAAAGGAATGATTATTTCGCTGGCAAAACTTTGGGGTACGGGTAGCCAAGTCGTCTTTGGTGTTCTCCCTTGGGCACACCATAAGCCTATGATCGTGGGTCCGAATCCCTGTTCTCCATGATAATACTTTCAGGTTTTGTTGTACTCACCTGAGATCAGCATCGCTTTGGGCTTTCCTGTCTCTTAAGGGGACATGATGTAATATAACGAGAAGAGTATTCAGAGCATCCTTAAACCAAACTCACTCACATTGTAAAGTCGGCTTACCCTAAATATCGATTGTGCCTCGGAGAGAAAATTTAGCTCAGTGTGCTCTCTGTAGCCTAACGTGCACAGCGTCTCACACTTACTCAAACAAGAAAACCCATTCCATAGCTTACCCAATCACTCACTCACTCACCCAAACTGGAACTATCAACCAACAGTACCCAAGTGTTGTGTATCCTCTTGATAAGGGAGGTCACTCCTTCACTAACTCACAACAAACTCTACTGTCACGTCATATCTCTTGCTCAATACGGCCACTCACTAACCCACTGCCCTGTATATCTATCTAGATCTCTGCTATGGCGTCACTCATTACTTCACTCACCCAAACTCATCCACCAAGCTACCCATTCACTAATTCACTACCTGTATCCTACCTCTCTCGGATCACAGTAGTTGTAGGGGCAGGGGCTGGAGCGCTGACGACAACCACTTGCTGCTGCTGCTGCTGCTGCTGCTGTTGATGATGTTGTTGATGCTGAACCTGCAACCGTCATATGCAGCATTACGACAGTCGAAGAGAGAAAATGGTACATGTAATATAAACGTGTGTGATCACAAATTTCAATTGAGACAGATAACACTAGGTAATAGTAACATCAAAAACTTTATCAGGAAACTGTATGATTAGAATGTCTTCATATTTTCACTTTAAATCGTTTTAATCCGGACTCATGAGACGTATCCGGGCAGTCGGAAACGAACACACATAGTTGGATAAACTGTCTCCTTGTATATAGTGGGACCCCGCTTATCCGGACCCAGATATCCGGAAGCTTCACCTACCTGGTGATATTTACGTGAAACGAAATGCATACTAAAAAAGTCACAACATGCATTATCCAGAAATCTTGTTTCCAGATCCTGACAGTACGAATATATAACCAGTAACAACCATAATCGACTGAATGATGGCATATTCTTAGTTGGATGGTTTATTGCTTAACGCCCTATTCAGCAATATTCCAGCTATATGACCGCAGTCAGTTAATAATCGAGGTTGGCCCAGACAATCCAGTGATTGACATCATGAGCATGGAATACGACATGCATTAACTAAGTCAGTGCACCTGACTATCTGATGCCGTTAAACGCCCGTAAGACAAGCATGGGTTGCTGATGACCAATTCTAACCCGGATCTTCACGATTTGAGAAGTATTCCAATAATTCCAATAACTATCCCATGCTAGTTATTTCACCACTCTTTCAACTGCTTCCGTGGTGTCTCTGTATATGTTCTCGATTTTGCGACTTTATCATAGTTGACGAACATGCTTTAAAACCAACATTTCAGTGGCATCGTAGTTTCGTATTTTTTTTCAAAATGAAGTCAGTATCAGTTGAAAATACTCCCGGTTGTGGGGTAGCCTAGTGGTGCAAGCGTTCACTCGTTTCGCAGCAGGCTCGGGTTCGATTCCTACAATAACATGGGTACAGCCCTGGCACTAACTTGCACAGAGCAATCTTAGTTACAATCAATCTTAGGGCCTTACAATCAACTTTACAATCACCATACAATTGCCCTAATCCACTTGCACAAAGCAGATCTTAGCACGATTGTAAGACCGCATGGATTTAAGATCGCGATCTGAGCTAAGATCGAACTCTTCAACGGTGGAGGTGCGAATTTCTTAAACTCGACTCCTGTCTACAGTTGTCTGCAAGTGCCCATAGCATACTGCGCAACTAGAGAGTGGTACTGGTCCCTGCACACAATACATACCTCCCTCAATCGCACTTTGCCGAATTTTCATGAACAAACATTCCCAGAAATCTTCGAAGGAAACGATTACGTGGACGATAGCATATATATTTCTACATTTTAACTGTCTTGATTTATTAACTGAGAATGTGATATTTCAACCACGGAAATACCTACCCATGTTTAATGAAAATATTGAACTGCGAAAAAATACATTAATAAATTTGGGTCTAGATTTAGTGACTTAAAAATTATGAAAATTATAATAATATATCAAATATCGACAATATTTCCTTATAATATAACACCTTAATGCATGATTTGCCACTGGTTGTCAATGAGACATTGTTTAATCCACAGCTGTTTTTAATTTTTTTATTTTGTTTTTTGTGTGTGTAAAATCCTAAATATATCCTAGAAGTTTCGGTTTTCTCACAATAATAACAAGAAAATGTAACATGGCTACAGAAGTGTTGTAAAGAATTCATGACAGAGAAATACGAATATCAAATAATATATCGAGAGTGCAGTTGTTAAATACTCATTCACAGTATATTAATGATATGACCCTATTGCGTTGATAAATATTTTTTTAAAAGTGAAATTAAATTTGAATCTTGATTTTGCACGTTAACTTGTATCTATTTTTTAATTACTTTAATGATTAACTAAGACAAAATCACTCCATCACCGAAAAGAAAATATCTTGAGCTCTGCGATTGGGTATGACAGACTCTACGGCAACGGCATAGGCCAGGGGAAACCACTCCCATCTTGCCCATAAACTAAAATTATCTGTTCTTGAGTTAATGAAAAGGTCACGGCCATTGTTAATCGCACGCGGACACCATTGGCTAGTATCCTTTCCTTGATTATCAAAAAGGTATGTTGTGTCACACTTATTCCAACATTGAATCGGGTGGGAATAGTACTTTGTGATATCGACTCGATAGTTCTGTTTCACTACAGCAAATAACAATGTATCCGACGTTAAATCGGTTGTGCATTCTCCGTGTTGAAGTGTCGAGGCGAATCATACAGTACAGTTTTATGCAATATAAAAGCAATCTCCAAACGTAAAGCTGATTATTTGCGTGAAACTTGAACACCATTTTGTCACAGACTACAAAGAACTTAGCTCCTTACAATTGGTCCGGACCAATTGTACGTTTCGATTGTAACTTACAATGATCTTAGCCTACAATCGGTTTGTGCAAGTGGATGGCGATTGTAGCCAAAGCCTAAGATCGCGATCTTATGGATTTACAATAATTGTAGCGCTAAGATCGTTCTGTGCAAGTAGGCCCTGGTGTGTCCTGCAGTGGAATGCTAAATAAAGGTATATATGTGGTCATGGCGCCAATGGTATCTACGGCATAAACTATTTAGAAATATAACCACTAAGCCATTTGGTATATTACATACATACATACATACATACATACATACATACATACATACATACATACATACATACATACATACATACATACATACATACATACATACATACATACATACATACATACATACATACATACATACATACATACATACATACATACATACATACACACACACATACATACATACATACATACATACACACACACATACATACATACATACATACATACATACATATTACATACATACATACATACATACATACATACATACATATTACATACATACATACATATTACATACATACATACATATTACATACATACATACATACATACATACATATTACATACATACATACATACATACATACTATATACATACATACATATTACATACATACATATTACATACATACATACATACATATATACATACATATTACATACATACATACATATAACATACATACATACATACATACATACATACATACATACATACATATTACATACATACATATTACATACATACATATAGAAAATAGCATATATGCTTAAAACCCAATAAATCACCAGGTATTGATGACGTAATACCCGAGTTAATTAAGAATTCGGCAGATATTTTAGCACCATATTTAGAATTATTATTCAATATAATATTAGAAAATGGTAGTTTTCCAACTTGTTGGACAATCGGCATTATTGTCCCGCTCCATAAACAAGGAAGTATCGATAATCCAAATAACTATAGAGGCATTACTCTTTTGAGTATTTTTTAGTAAGGTTTTCACTTCTATCATTAACAGAAGATTAGTAGCTTGGGGAGAGACATTGAATAAAATAAATGAATCTCAGGCAGGTTTTAGACATGGATATACGACTACTGACAATATGTTTATATTGCAAAGTATTATACAGAGATACCTCAACATCAAAGGTGGTAAACTCTATACACTTTTCGTTGATTTCGAAAAAGCATTTGATTCAGTTGATAGACAAAAGCTATGGTCTATTTTTAATACCCATGGTCTAAGTCCTAAAATGAAAAATTATTCATAATATGTATGAAAATGTTAAAGCTTGTGTTAAGAATAACAATGAATTCTCAGATTCGTTTGAACTACAAATCGGGGTAAGACAAGGCTGTATACTTAGCCCATTTTTATTCTCATTTTTCATAAATGAATTAGCAACCCAAATTGAAAACAATTGTGAGTATGGAATACAGTTACACCCTGACCTAGTACATATTTTTCTTCTGCTTTGTGGGGACGATATCGTGCTATTCTCAAGCACTGTTGCAGGTTTACAAAGACTTATACAAGAACTTGAGAATTATTGTGACCAGTACAAATTAGCTGTAAATAGAAATAAAACTAAAGTAGTAGTTTTTAAAAAAGGGGGACGTTTATCAAAAAATGAGAAATGGTTGTATAAAGGTGAAGAATTAGAATGCACCAGTTCGTACAAATATTTGGGAATGTTCTTTAGTAATTGTTTATCTTGGACAACACATGTTAATTACGCTTGTTTGCAAGCACAAAAGGTCATGATAGGTATCTTTAAACAATTAAATGTACTTGGTGACATAAATATAAGTTCATACTTTAAAATATTTGATGCCAAAATTAAACCAATTCTATTGTATGGAGCCGAAATATGGGGTTTAAATTATTACAGTGATATTGAAAGAGTTCAATTGAAAACATGTAAAAGATTTCTTGGTGTTAAATCCAATACGATGAATACAATGGTGTATGGAGAATGTGGTAAATACCCGATGCACTTATTTACAAATATCAGAGTTATAAAATACTGGTTAAAATTACTGAAGATGCCTTCTTATAGGCTACCAAAGAAATGTTACAATATGATGATGCTATTCGATAAGAATGGACACACAAATTGGGTTTCTGCTGTTAGACATTTTCTATTCTCGAAAGGGTTTGGTTTTGTATGGAACGATCAGTATGTTGATTCTGAGGGTAAGTTTATTTTAGAACTAACACAAAGATTAAAAGATATCTACTTGCAAGAATGGTTTGAAAAGATATCACTTTCCAGTAAATGTCTGTATTATAAGGTGTTTAAATGTACTTTTGACTCCGAAACTTATCTTTCATGTCTAAACGTAAAAGTATAGGATAGCGTTAAGCAGATTGAGATGTTCTTCACATGATTTATCTATCGAAAGTGGAAGATTTAAAATGTCAAAAAAGAAAATAGAACTTGCAAACTATGTGATCTTAACCAAATAGAAGATGAATATCATTTTCTTTTAATTTGCCCTGCTTATAATTCCATCAGAAAGTTGTATATTAAGAAATATTATTGTGCCCATCCAAACCTTTATAAATTCTCAGCATTGTTGAATAACAAAACCCATACTATACTTCAAAACTTGTCCATGTTTGTTAACTATGCCATGTTGTTTAGGACAGAATATATCTCAGAACACAATGTAACCTAAAGTTGATTATTTTCCCTTCTTCATGTATATTATCCGTGCGTGTAAATATTGATTTATAAATGCATTGTACTACAGGCCTGTGGCCTTTCAGTACCGAAATAAATATATATATATATACATACATATTACATACATACATACATATTACATACATACATACATATTACATACATACATACATATTACATACATACATACATACATACATACATACATACATACATACATACATACATATATTCAACAACTTTGAACAGAGAGGTCAATCACTTTTATACCATGTACCTAACCGCATGAGTGATTGGCCCTAATTGTCAGTGATCCTTGGTTCTAAGTTTTCACTTGGCCTAAAAATTGGATAAATGTTGTACAACGCCCGCCTGTAACGACTTGCATGCGATGGCAATTGCTGAAACATTGTCCCCTTTGGGTTTTTTTTCATTAGTTTCGATATCTAATTCGGCTGTACCTACTATGGCTAATTCCAATGGGGTCCTCAGTGATACACATTCAGCTTTATATTATGACACTTTAATAGCCATTGCAGTACTCTCCTAACAGTTTTGTGTCTGGCAGATTAACTATAGTACCTATGATTGCTTATTGTTTAACGCTGCATTTTTTTCAGCTACATGAGGGCGGTCTGTAAAAAATCCAATCCGAGTCTGGACCAGACAATGCCATGATTAATATCATGAACATCGATCTACAATCAAGCCTTACTACCCGACCTTGTTTGGTAATATGAAAGAATATCTTTAGATGAGAATATTTACTGTTACAGTGGAGTGAGTGAGTGAGTTTAGTTTTACGCCGCACTCAGCAATATTCCAGCTATATGGCGGCGGGCTGTAAATATTCGAGTCTGGACCAGACAATCCAGTGATAAACAGCATGAGCATCGATCTGCGCAATTGGGAACCGATGACATGTGTCAACCAGGTCAGTGAGCCTGACCACCCGATCCCGTTAGTCGCCTCTTACAAGCATGGGTTACTGAAGATCCATATTCTAACCCGGATCTTCAGGGGTATTTACTGTTATAACTGACACTGGCATGGAACTCACCGGGGGCTGTTGGGGTGGATACACTGGCTGGGGTAGTACATAACCCGGTGGGTATTGCGGCAGGTGCTGCATCTGCAATTATCATCATATTGGGAATACTTCATATAATAAACATAAGGCCAAATATAAATATGTTGTGTTTCCGAGCACGCCTCTTTAACACTTAGGGTAGGTAGGTAGGTAGGATTTTTGTTTTGTTTTTTACTATTTTTTAGAAATAAAGTACAAACTAATAACACATTTTCAATGTGTAATTGTTTATTCAATCAAGCTTGAGGCCATCATGTCGACTTTCTCTATTAGACTGACCGATGTCTGTCGGTGCCGGCAAAAAACAATGGTATCTGAAAGTTTATTTTATTCATTCCCCTTAAAAAAAAATAGGGTTGGCAGCAGAATTCAAGGATCGGTCGGTTAATCGGAACCACAACATTTAGTTTTTTAGGCCTAGTAGCAATAACAATATCAAAAATAATAATAGTAAATAACAATCAACCGAAATTAGTTACGACTCATAACAAATATATTTTGTCTGTAAAAGCTGAAAGGAGTGTGTTTTAGTGAACAAAAAAGTAAAGCTATGTTGTTTTGGAGAAGTGACAATAAGTAAAACAATGAAATTTTGTTGCATACGTAGGGTAAGTGCAAAACATTCCAGGAACAAAGTTAAGGATTCCACAAAGAATATATGATAATAACAAAAGCAATTTAAATATTATATGAAAATAGAACCAAAGTAGCTCAAAAGGAAATAATCATTCCAGATTGTGAAGGGCCCTGATTCGGACAGATCAAAGGAGGGGCTACTTACAGGCTGAGGGTTATAGCCATATGGGGGCGGTTGTTGCTGCATTGTGCCTGAAAGATATACACAAATATTCATCAATTCAATTTTACAAGACTGTTACTTCTTGAAGTGAGAGAATCAACAAATTTTGCTGACATTGAACAGAGTGTAGCTGGCTTGTGAACAACCGAGAGTTGGGGTCTCCCCATGTTGGCACCTTCTTGGCAGTCAGCCATGATGAATGAGGACAAACTTAGGAAATTTACTGTAGTCTGTTCTTGAAAATTAGGCACATTGGAATATATCACAAGTTACATATCAGAATTGAATATGGATCACAAAACATGTTAATAACATGTTTTTGTGTTATTAAATATAAGATACATGTACAATTGGGCCAAGCATACCAGTTGTTCACACCATGGGCGACTTGATACGCCTTCAGGGCACAATACGGTCACAGCCATCTCAAGTATCAGGGACACATGATGGCTTTAAGTTTCGGAATTATCACAACAATTGTATGGCTTAGTCTTTTTCCACTCGATAATCATGTTTTCTATATAGATGAGTAACTTGTTTTAATCAATACATTACACATCCACGCATAATATTTTCATTTAACCAGATTTCTAAGAACCATGCAGGGAGCGAAAGTAGCTTTAAGAGTGGATGATGTATTCTTTAAAGCGCTGAGCTTCTAACAGTCAGCTACAACTGTGCCTAACACACCCAATCAACCCAGTAAACCACAGCATTTACACTGCCCACATGCTTTAAAAAAAGGTGTAGCATATAGATGGCAGTCATAGATGGGTGAAGCATCAAACTACTTTCAAAACTCAAACTGTATTCCCAAACAAACCAGTTTCTTTTAAATGTTTTTGCTCTTTATTAGACATTGAGTCTACATGTTGAGGTTAAAAACATACTTTATACTTCAAGCTGAAAACATATAAAAACTATATCTATGAATGTTTTCAGATTATGATCAATACTAACAAACCTGTAAGGGAAAGTTAAGAAGGGTAACGATCCATTAGCATCAATCATTTTACTGTCAGTGTCCATCAAAAGTACTTTGAACATTATATGATTAAAGAAACTGTTTCATTAGACATGGTTTTATACAACAGCTCAACTCTTGTCTCATGTTTATTCATGCTTAATAAGATTTGGCTTTACAAACAAAATTAATCTTTGAATATGACAGAATGTCACAGCGTTTTAAAAATCCTGTTTTTAATCTACATTTCTGAAATAGGAATCAGGTTTAATGCATTCATTATTGTCACTGGTATTGGAATTTTCCATCAATCAAACCAGTTTCCGGACATTTCAAATAAAATGCTTTCAGCTGCTAAGACAAAATTAAAGATATTCGTCTGGTGTGATTCAATGTTTAAGAGCGTTATTATTTCACAAATGAATTAGGTGGAAAGGATTTTGAAAGTTCTGTGGGAAAATATTAAATTTTATTGAATTTTGCTTTCAATGCACGTTTGGATCATCCTTCATACCCGGAGATCTTTTGTGGGGAAAAGTTTAAAAAAACGGGCTACAAACGTCCATGCAAACTGTCTAGTGAATTTTGAAAGTGTTCATCGTGGTGTTTTAACTCCCTGGTTCTCACTGTCTGACCTAAACACCAAAGAGATATATTTATTATTTCATCTCATACACAACACTATTTCAGCAATATAAGGCCTTTTAGATTATTATAGGGCGAGGGACTGTCTTGTAATACTCACGAGCCTGACATGAAACTAAGGACTATGATCTTGTGATCAAACCCACGACCCCTTGGACCACTGAGTCATTGATTATAAATGTTCAGTGTTTTATACAGAAGTCAGTTATTAACTACATGTCAGACTAGGTTTCTGCTTCAATTCACATTTATGAGTAAATGCTCTTTGCAAGACTATCAGCAACATTCTAGCAATATTAAAGAGGCCTGTCATTATTCTAGTCTGCACCGGGCAATGAATTTTTGCTGACTTAAAAGCAGGTGTATCATATATTGTGACAATCTGTTCCTTATGACCACAAATACAGAGTATTGGGGCCTAGTCTAGAGACAGTGAGACCAATTATCGAATACATAAATTCTCTCGTTCTTACATTGTAACCAGTCCCTAGTATGGTGAACTACCTTCAGTGGTTGGTGATCTATAGCCTACTTTTATATTGTGTTGTCCTCTAAAGTTAAAATGTTTTAGATTTAATTACTAGTTTTACATTTATATCTGTGATATTCTAGTTGTTTTACTGTCCTTTGTTGACAGGATTTTATACTTCATGTTTAATTATTGTTAATATATATGTTGTTTTAGTCACGATATGGCTGAAATATTGCCAAAGTGACTTTAAATTTTAACTCACTCATTCACATTGTAACCAAGATGCCTGATATCAGTTTACGAAGTAACACATATCGGCTCCCACATATCTGAAGTTTTAATTTGTGTATCTCTGTCACTGACAGCTTGTACGAGAGGTTTTTTCAGGGATTTGTTCAGGGAGATTAATGTAAGGATAGGCAAAGTTTTGCGCCACACGGTTTAAGGTGAATTCATACAACGTCACAGTTGCACGAGGTGTTATTTAGGCATCGAAATAAGCCGAGTCGAGTAAAGATTGGGTCAACCAGAACAGACTACAAAACGACACTTAAAAACTAAACAATGCTACAATTTAACTTAAATCTTCAAGCTCAGCCAACAGTGCACCCCAGTTTCATGAATAAGGACGAATCTGCCGCGCTCGTTTGAATCTGCTGAAACACAAGATACCCGCAGTGCTTATTATTGAAAGTGTATTTCGGTTTTGAGACGCTTTTTCGAACATTCTGCACTTCACGGTTGAGTTCAGCGTTAGATCATTGGCGTACAGAGTGATTAATGAACACATTTTCATATAAACATACATCTGTATGAGACATGACACTGGGACTAATGTGTTCAGCTATTCGCACTGTGCAACTGTAAATTATGATGCTCTTAGGTGGATTACTACTCAAGGTATGCCCTTCCAATCGTCACAAAATGTCTGGACGCAGCTAAAAACACTCGCAGTAGCCTTTGATCTATCGCAGAACTCACGAGTGAATACAACTTAATTAAACACGGTATGCCTTTGTCAACATTTCTATGGCAGTATCATGGCATTATAAAGGCTCAGAGCATCACTAAATAACAAAACAGTCTGTCAAAATATTCGTACCTCCAAAACAGTCATCGCCGTGTCTATCGACGACCTTGAACTTCGTGTTGCAGATGGGAGTAGCCTCCCTTGGACCAAGTGGCCAGTCGTTAAAAATACCTAGGCATGGCATGCAGTCCCATCTCGGGAATGTTCGGTGTTCCTTGATTGACCTTGCTTATTACAATCAATTTAACAGCATATATACTTACTGTTGACTGGTACGAAATCCCATAACCAGCATGGAGGTGATCCATGGGGCAAAATAATCATTATTTTAATTTAATAACGATAAGGTAATACTTAGTATTGAGTAGTGAGATGTGTCTTTTATTGTATTCATGTGTTGTTGATTACCGGAGTATCGTACTTTCATATATATCTTTCGCCTGCTCATATATTTTCCTGTCCTTTTCGACGTGAACTGATAAAACATTTTTGCACTAGAATTTTCAATGTGCTGATGTGATAAAACGAATCGTGTCACTAGGCAGTACTACCGTGACAACCATGGAGGCACAGGAGATGCCATTTGTGAGCCAACATTGACTACTCCAACAGGAGAACATAACCACCTTGCCATGGCCAGCAGTCAGTCCAGACTTGTCACCCTTCAAACATGTCTTGGATATCATTGGACAGCGAACGCCACTTAAACAACAGCAACCACAACCACAACCACAACCACAACCACAGCCACAGCCACAACCACAACCACAACCACAACCACAGCCACAACCACAACCACAACCACAACCACAGCCACAACCACAACCACAACCACAACCACAACCACAACCACAACCACAACCACATCCACATCCACAACCACAGCAACAGCAACAACTACAACCACAGCAACAACCACAGCCGACAGCCAGAACCACGGCCACAACCACATCCACAACCACAACCACAGCCACAACCACAGCCACAACCACAGCAACAGCAACAACTACAACCACAGCAACAACCACAGCCACAGCCACAACCACAGCCACAACCACAACCACAACCACAACCACAGCCACAACCACAGCCGACAGCCAGAACCACAACCACATCCACAACCACAACCACAACCACTCTCAACGCAATAGGTGCTGCTCTACATGAAAAACATGGGATAGAACCAAGTTGACATTGTACGTTTGATCGTCGATTCCGGGATTGTCTTGAGAGTAGAGACGGGATCACGCGATACGAATGAGTTTCCATAGTAAATGAAGTGATCGTCAATATGGCGCTTTGACCAATCATCTAACAAGGGCCATAAATCCATGGGCATGTGACGTTAAACGCCTAATGCAAATCTCAGACAGATGTTCCTGTTACTCTGGTAAACTATTTATCTCATTAAAAATTAAATCCCGATTGACTGTAGTAACACCTTCTTATCGAATATATCCTACTCTTTTTAATAGTATATATCAGTTTGACAGAAACTAGTAATTATTGTCTAAATTGAAAAGGAGTGCCAGTGAGATTGGATGTTCAGTACCTGATGAAAATCTACACATGCTTGCTACACTTACGGTTTACGCATAGTCTGTTTCACAGTCCCTGAACCACATCATTTTCCCTACAGCCTAGCCCTCCCTGCAATGCCAAAACCCTAAATGAAGCAGGTCTAGATTTCCCCAGGTTCTGAATCTCTGGTCTGCCTGGGGCTGGTTTTCAATTTAAATGGGTATATTTGTTACAATCAAAATTACATATATTATTTATATTCAGAGACTAAGCGTTAGTCTATATTAACGCAATACAGAAAGTGTAACGTCATAAATGTGGACCGTGTCCGCGCCTCTGTAGTTTCCCTACACACCCTTCACAGCACGCAGTATTCCAGACCTGCATGATGCTTGCAACCCCAATTCCTGTAACCTACGTTATTATATTATCTCTGTAAAGTACATTCTTGTATCTATGTGAGTCCCATCCGGGATTCGAACCCATACTCTGAGAGTGAAGCACCAAAATCGCAGTATAATTAATTTACCAACCAAGCTCCGTCAAACTGGTAGTATCGACCATAAACTTTCTGTATCACTGTCACAAATGGAATCCTAGAAGGGACATTATAAGTTGTATGCTTCTCTCGAGGGTAATACCGTTTGATGTACGCCTCTTTGTAGCAGTGTTACCCGAGCCGGTAACGATGAACGCCTCTTTGTAGCAGTGTTACCCGAGCCGGTAGGCGAGGGATAACACTGCTACAAAGAGGCGTACATGAGACCGTATTATCCGAGGGAGAAGCTTACCGCCATGCTAAATATAAATGTACAAAATATCATTTTATTTTATTTGGAAGATCGATAAGGTCGTTGCCGACTATATGGCACGTAAACAAAATGGCGTATGCCTCTCGACTCGATTTTTAGTGAGTGAGTGAGTGAGTGAGTTCGGTTTTACGCCGCTTTTAGCAATGTTCGAGCAATATCACGGCGGGGAACACCAGAAATGGGCTTCACACATTGTTCCCATGTGGGAAATCGAACCCGGGGCCTTCGGCGTGACAAGCGAATGCTTTAAGCACTAGGCTACCCCACCGCCCCGACTCAATTTTTAAGATGAGTGAAACATATTCTGACAAGCTTAAACGGCTTTAAAAATGAGTAATTATGTTTAGGTTGAATGTGCAAACGATGCTATGTGTAAAATAGTTTATATAAAGCAGTGTTAGTCGGTAAAATAAATGTGTACATTGAGAACTAAAAAACAGATAATCGAACTGTTTTCGACCTCCGTGCACTGCATGTGTCATATTATGACGTCATACGATTGTTAGCGATGCAGCTTCTCGGTGAGTTTGGCGGTTACCGCGGCAGCGGGTAATATTTTTTCCAGTTGTCACCCTCATGGGAGGGGTGACACGGAAACTTGTTAAAGCGTCATTGACCAATGAAATTAGAGTATTTTACATGAAGGTAAGATAATGTCACTTGTCTCAGTATCGCCCTCACAAAGTCATGTGTCAAAATTACGCAAAGCACGACAAAGCGTCAACATAACATTATCAATATGTCGCATTGTCAAGCATCTTAACCCTTTTTGGACACACTTTAGATGGGACGACAATGCGACAATGGCTTTGAAGACTTTCGCATTGTCATACGGCATTAGCACAATGTTCCTTCTAGGATACAAATACAAATTGGCACGAGTGCTAAGAATACACAATGCCTTTTAGAACGTCGCAAAATATAATATCTTAGATTTTGTACATTATAAGTTGTTCACTGGTCACGAGGGGGGCATTGGTTGATGTACCCTCGATGTTTGTTTATGTTCCCTGAGCCCGAAGGGAACATAAACAAACATCGAGGGTACATCAACCCATGGGCCCCGAAGGACCAGTGAACAACGTAGTTATCTTACCGAACACCTTAATGTTAATTTTGAATTGTTTGAAGCACGGGTATAATTCTTTTTGTAGCCATCGCTTGATTTTGCTGACAAGAAAAACGGATTTAGAGTTATCTCCCTTCCATCAATTTGCATTAGCAAAACATCGGTAATTTCCGTACATCATATGTGATTTGAGCAACCGTATCCAGTATGATATTACTCTAGCTTTGTAATTTACGTAGAGTGGAAAGAGTAGAGTAGAGAGTGTGTTCAGTACAAACCTATCGACTGAGATGGCGGGATCGATAGCGTGTAATGGCATTCAAGGATTAGTAGAAACATATCTGAAGTACTGAGCTACAGCATCACAGCCTCTTTATGAAAATATAACTACTTCTTTACATGAAGGCGTAATCAATTCATGGAGTGGTTGTTTGCTATTCAATACACCGAGACTGTTTCATAATCAATTCTTAACGAATAGGCATAATCGCCGGTTAGGTTAAAAGGTATTACAGTTTTGTTATCATACAACACTACACACAACGCACTACACACACACACCAACAAACACACACACACACCAACACACACACACTCACTCACTCACAAACACCACACACACACATAGACACACACACTTGATTTATGTTCATAATGAATAAATACATTTACATGTTTTAACAAAATTATTATTTTTCACGGATGTACGGATGTACTCTGTCGTGTTCTCTTCACCGTGTGGTCTCATCCACGGATAGAGACTGGTCATGTGACTAAACATGGGAAGGGCCACACATGATTTAGCTGGAAGCGCTGTATTAACACTGTTAATTGAATGTTGCATAGCTTAAGGCGCTTGCCCAAAATAGTATGCTATTAATTTTTCATCAAGTTTGGCTGGCACGAAATGACGAGAGAACACTTCCTGATAAGCTGCTGTCAGTTTGCTTAGTATAAAGTATGAATAAAAATATCAAGCAAACACGGATTGATGTATCCGTTAAGCAATGATTGGGGACCCCCCGTATCTACAGGACGTCCGGTTCCTAATTTACGGACGGAAGCATGTTGTCGTGGGCACGATGTGCAAGGGGTGCTTGAAAAACAGTGTTTCGGTGTATCGTGACAGAACCGTTACAGCTGCAGGCATGTATGTCACCTCAGCATCAAAGAATTGGACAGACTCATGGGTGTGCTTGATACTAGGATCAACACAAGGTCACGTTGCCCACGTCTTTGGTTTTAGCAACGAACAGATGCCAAATGTTACCAAGCAACATGCAGGTGGATGTCTTCCTGATTGCAACATGCCGCCATCGTATCATTACTGCCACCGCACTCAGGAATGACCTGCAGAACCTCAATTTCGTAGACGTTTCCGTTAAAATACGTAAGTGTCTAAGCATAGTTGGTCTCCAGTCATGAAAAGCATTACATTCGCTTCTCACTGACCCAAAATCACAAGGCACTTTTTGGCTTGACTTAAGGTCACAACTGGAAAACCAGGAATATGTTCCAATACGTTTCACTGATATACAGTCGATATAATGTCTACATTTCACAGATCGCCATGCCCTAATGAGAGAAAATAGATTTCAGAAATCCAAACATAGCGGAACATGGCCGTTATAGGGGCCGCTCAATCATGATTTAATATGGGATCAAAAGAGCAGGAAGAGCTGATCGTAAGACTGCAAGATTGTGCAACCGGAC